TCCTTTTTATTTTTCTTTCTCTCTTGGTTTTCCAATTTTTTTACCCTACTTTCTAGTTGTCTTTGAGCCAAAACTACTATTAGTCCGTTCACTATTCCTGACACTATTCCTGATATTGTTTGATTAGTATGTCCCATTTTCACTCGTTAACTCATTGTATTTACAATTTTTAACTCAGTCTTTTTTCTATCTCCGAAAAAGCCGAATGGGTAAAAATGAGATAACCAGGAGATAATACTTGTAAAGAATTAACCGACTTACTATCGCTGACATTTATATAAGGCAAATTGCAGAACGAATAAATTATTTTTTCTTTATTTTCTTCATTGTTGGCTAAAATGAGAAGAGATTTGGATTTTTTGGTTGGCAAAAGATTAAGGAACTTCTCGGCTTCCTTGGTTTTGTAATTTTCTAATTCTAATTTATCAACCACAATTAATTCTTTATTTCTCATTTTTTCGCCCAAAAGCGATTGGAGAACTTTTTTTTTCAGTTTTTTATTAATACCCAAAGAGTAATTTTCTTCACCTTGGGGTCCGAAAGCCACTCCACCGCCGCGAAAATGGGGATTACGAATGGAACCCGAACGAGCCCGACCCGTTCCTTTTTGTCGTCAAGGTTTAATTCCACCACCGGATACTTCGCCTTTGCTTTTCGTTTTTTTTGTTCCTTGCCGTTGCTGAGCCAGATAATAACGATTAGCGAGGGAAACATTTCACTGGGAAAGCGGAACCTCCCACAGGGCAGAATTGAGCGGAAAATTACTTATTACTTCGCCTTTCTGATTAATAACATTTACTTGTTCCATATACTCTAATAATTATTTTTATTGTATTTTTTCCATCCGCCGTGTTTTTTAACCCATCCTTACCAAGAAGTCCTTGTTCTCTAACTGGGGGATGAAAGATAATTAGTTCGCCAATTCTCTTCTTAAAGACAAAATTTTTAATTTTGTTCTTCTTAATTGGCAAAAATCTTGAAATTTGTCGCTGATTTTATAACTACTTGTGAGAATTAAAAATTAAAGTTAAAATTGCAGTAAGTGTTACAAGCAAACACCAGTTAAGTTGGAAAAAGTGATAGAGTTTTTGTTTGTACTTGTTGCATAATTTTTTATAAAAATCAATAAATAAGTAAGATTCCCGAATAGAAAAACTAAGCAAAGTTATTATTTGCGAACAGTGTTTCACCACTTTACTACTCTTTTCACAATTAATTTCCGTTTTTTTAATTGTTTGTAATTACGTAGTAATTTAGAAAGCAATGAAAAGCGGACAAAAAATATGAAAAAGGTAGTAATTCATCGCAGTGGTTTTATCTCTTTTCTTTTCTAAACATTGCCAGACGAAATTTTTTCTTTTGTCTTTACCCTAAAAATTGGTTCATTCTGGCTTTTGGTTCTGCTCCTTTCCGTTTTCTCAATTATTCTCCAAATCTCCCCAAACACCTCTTCCCTACTTTTATCAGCATTAATTATGTGAACTCTTTCCTGAAAATAACTTTGCATTTTTAAATAGCCATTGCGAATTATTTGGTGAAATTCTAACTTGGAGTTGTCTCAATTATTTGGTTCCGCCCCAGTTTCTTGCTGTCTTTTATTTACTCTTTCGGCAGTTTTGGTTGGTTCAATATCCAAGACAAAAGTTAAATCAGAATAAGGAATGTCAATAGTATTTTGCCAAATTTCAACTAATTTAGCAATTGGTAGTTTCCCCCTAGTGCCCTGATAAACCAAGGTGCTGTCAATATAACGGTCAATTAGAATCGTTTTTCCGGCCGCCAAGTTGGGTTTGATTACAGTTAAAGCATGTTCGTTATGATTAGTCGTAAAAAGAAAAAATTCCGTTCAGACATTCGTAATTAATTTTCTACTGACCAGATTTTCGGTAACTAAATCCAGACTTTTTGCCCTAAAATAGTACCGCGGGGTGATTGAGTAACAGTAGAATTAGGAATTGCTTCATGCAACTTTTTAATGAGGGTGGATTTACCACTGCCATCTATTCCTTCCAGGGAAATTAATAAGGGTCTATTCATGCTTAAAATCATCTTTGGTTAAGTCACTTAGCGAAGTCTTAATTAATAACACCCCCTCATGATGCTTAATTGTTGGATAAAAAGGG